TTAAGAAATCATAAACCAATATATAAAGAATTGAATCATGGGTTAAGACTAAAATTGGCCGAACCCAACCCATGCTTGTTAGAAATTACACTAGAAGGGATATATTTCTTTATGAAGAGAAGGACTGAAGTTTTCAGAAAAAGGAAGAAGATTGCTCAGTTAGAATTTTATATTCATTGTCTCAATCTTCCTCTTTACATATTGTTTACATTTATAATGTGTGTATATTTGTCCTATATAAGAAGTCTCTAGAATAAGTATACAGAAATGGAATATGCTATATTCATCCATATCCTCTCAACGTTAGCATGGAGTGAGCTGGCTCTTTAGTCTTCAAATGAGCTGTAGTGCACAGCTGCTGAATGTCTTGAGTAGTTTGCTCTTTTTCCTTGGGCTATTGGGTGCCTTGTGAATGTATTACTTTATCATCCCCTCTCAAGCTAAGCAGCGGTGAAGCAGCTATGAGCTTGAAACAATGATATCGAAATTGGGCCTTTGGCAAGCTTTTGGTAAAGATGCCAACAACTTGGTGGTGAAAGGAGACATGACTAATGGAAATGGAGATACTTGTGACAAGTTGACGAACGTAGTGATAATCGATCTCAATGTGTTTAATTCAAGCACGAAATATGGGATTTTGAGACAGGGCAAGAACACTAACATTGTTGCAAATCAAGAGAGGAGGTTTGAGGAGGAAGAAGTGAAGATCCTTGAGCAAAGAACATAACCATGTGATTTCAGCAGCTGTGTGAGAGAGGGCATGATACTCACTTTCGGTAAAGGAGCGTGCAATGGAGGTTTGTTTCTTTGCACTCCAAGAGAAAAGGTTAGTGCCAAAGAAAACACAATAACCAGTGGTGGATCTTCTGTCAATTGGACAACCTGCCCAGTCAACATCTGAAAAAGCTATGAGAGTCATGGAACCTTTGGTGAGAGATAGGACTTGCTATGGTGTACCTTTAAGATATCGCAAGATGCATTTGGCAGCAGTGAGGTGATGAGTTCTTGGCTGATGCATATGTTGGCAGACTTGATTCACTGAGAATGCAATGTTTGGGCGAGTCCATGTAAGATATTGTAGAGCCCCTACAAGGGAACGATAGGGGGTGGGATCTTGAATAAGGTCACCAGAGGTTGTGTCAAGCTTAATGGTTGAGGAAGGAGTGGAACAAGGCTTGGCATCAAACATTTTTGTTTTGGTAAGGAGATCTGTGATGTATTTTGTTTGGGAGAGAAAGATAGAAGTGGGTGTACGATGGGCCTCAATGCCAAGAAAGTAATGAAGATTGCCAAGGTTTTTTCATAGAGAACTTGGAATGAAGGGTGTTGATGAGGTGAGTACATGATGTTGATGAATTTCCTGTGATGAGGATATCATCAACATAGACTAGAATGATAGTGAGATGTGCATCAGCTTTGATGAATAAGGAAGAGTCAGCAGTGGAGGAATGAAAACCAAGACACAACAAGCAATGGTAGAGCTCCTCATACCTAGCTCTAGGAGCTTGCTTCAGCCCATAAAGTGATCTATTGAGTTTGCATACATGGTGCGGCCTGTGGGGATCTTTAAAACCTAGGGGCTGCTGCATAAAAACAGTTTCTGTTAGTGAACCATGAAGAAAGGCATTTGACATGTCTAGTTGGGTGACAGGCCAGTCAAATTGAACTACGAGAGAAAGCACAAGACGGATGGTATTTGTAAATCCCAGACTTGGAGCGGGTTTGTATAGGGTGGGTGTTTAGGGGATGAGAGGTGTGAAGAGAGGGGGAAGCGGTTGGATTGGAGAGATGGGCAGATTAGTGACTAAATGGTGGTCAAGAGAAGATGACGAGCTTGAGGTTGATGAGGATGAGTGAGTAGTATTTGAGGAAGATGGTGTACTGTTAGGAATATGATGAGATATTTGGATAAGTGGAGGAGAGTTTAGGGGAGGTAAGGGGTTGTTTGGGGGATAAGTTTGTGGTGGGGAAGTAAAGAGAGGTGGGGGAGATAGGAACACCATTGGTGATGTAGGAATGATAGTGCTGGTAGGTTTGGGAGAGTGATGATGAAAAGGACTTCAAACAAAGGATACAGATGCTTAGACCCAACTACAGGCAAAGTCTTCATGAAATGATAATCTGGTTGACAATTAAAGAGTTTTTGAAGAGGTGAGACTTTGTTTAAAACAGATGACGGCATTCTATTAATTAGATATACGCCATCGTCTGAGCTATTTCAACCCAATAGCTAATAGGAAGATTTGATTGAGCAAAAAGTGTTCGAGTGAGATCAATAATATGTCTTTGCTTTCGTTCAGCCAAACTGTTTAGCTGTGGAGTATGTGGCCAAGAAAATTGTTGGGAAATGCCATGTGAGTTAAGAAAGTTTTTGAAAACATGGCTGGTGAATTCTCCACCATTATCACTTCTAAGAGTGCATATTTTATGTTTGAAAAGTTTTTCAACTTGTAGCTTAAAAATATGAAATGCTTTTAATGTGTCTGCTTTGCTTTGAAGAGGATATAACCAAGAGAAACGTGACCAATCATCCACAAAAATGACATATAATTTGTAACCAGAAAAGAAGGCCTGTGGGGCAGGGCCCCAAAGGTCTGAATGTATTAACTGAAGTCGAAACTGAGAATTATATTTAGAATGAGAAAAAGGTAATTGTTTGTGTTTCCTAGAGAGCAATCTGAGCAGAATGGAAGATGGGAGAGTTTGCCTTGAACATGAAGCTTGTTGGATGAGAGAATGTGATGAAGAACATTTGCATTGGGATGGCCAAGACATTTGTGCCAAAGAGAAGAGGATGCAGTTGTGGTGCTGAGACAGAAAAGAGAAGGCTTGCTTTTGGAGAAGTGGATGGGGTAGAGACTTCCTTCAGTAGGGCCTTGAAAAATTATTTTCCCCCAGAGATGACCCTTAATGATACATGAGAAAGGGGTGAAGGTTAAATCACATAGATTATCATTTGTAAACTTATAAACAGAGAGTAAATTATGTGTAGCATTGGGAGTATGAAGAATGTTTTGCATATGAAAGATGGAGGTTGGAGAGTAAAGAGTGGCATTACCAGTGTTCTGAATAGCTAAGATGTCACCATTGGCGACATTGACTTTCTCTGGACCAGTGTATTCAGAAAGAATAGAGAGGTTGCTAAGGTTATTAGTGAAGTGATTTGTGGCTCCGGAATCAGCATACTAAGTAAGAGAAGAAGATGGGTATATGGAGGTGTAGGAGGCAAATGGGTAAGAAGGAGTTGTGGAGTGGGAAGGTGAAAGGTTGGGAGAGGGAAAGTGGCCTTGATAGGAGCTGTTAAGACGATTTTTGCATGTGAGAGCCCCATGGCCTGGTTTGTTGTAGATTTGGCAAACAATTCTTGGAGTGGAATAATTGTTTGGAAGAAAAAATGATCGAGTGAGGTTAAGATTATGGTTAGGGTTAGGATGGGATGTGCGTTGAGGTCTAGAAAAACGAAATGGGTGTTGAGGGTTGCGAGAGTTTGGATTTGGGTTAGGATGAGAAGAGTTGGAAAAGGAGCGAGCTTGGTTGGAATAACGATTGTTGGAGTTGGTTTTAGAAAGGTGAGGTTGTGAGGAAAGGGATGTTTGAATGGCATGAGATGTGGGCTCAGAGAAGGAGCTGAGTCTTGAGCTAAAGGCAAATTATTCACTCAAAAGAAGGGCATGAAGCTCTTCAGAGGTAATGGGTTCATATCGAACCCTGATGGAGGTGGCAAAGGAATCATAATCAAATGGGAGACCATTTAAGACATGTGCCACAAAGTCTATGTCATCTAAAGGGGAGCCAGCTGCAGCTAGGCTATCAGCTGTGCCTTTCACTTGAAGTGGATGAACCAACAGTATAAGGGAGGATATTTTCAGAAAGGGATGAATTTATCCGGATTTTGCAATGACGGTCTTGTTTCATCCATTGGACAAACTCAGGATTTGTAGTGGAAGTGAGTGAGCCTTCTTGGATGGGTAGATATTGAGGAGGACAAGGCTCAGATCCATCAATGATAGACAACATGTCATAGCTTTGTAGGACTGGGAGGAAGAGTTCGTTCCATAAGTAGTTTTCTCGGGATAATTTTACGAGAACAAGGGAAGAAATGTTTTGGGTAGCAACGGGTGGGTAGGAGGGAGAGGAGAAGCAAAGGAAGAGTAGGATGATGAGGACCCATGATGGTCATGGTTGCTGTGGGGGGGGGGGGGGGGTCCATAGATGAGAGAAAAGGAAAAACTTTAGAAAAGGGTGAAAAATGATGCTGGGAGGAAAGGAGAGAACCAAAAGAGTAGGAGAATAACTGTTGGGTATTAGGGCACTGATACCACGTTAGAAATTACACTAGAAGGGATATATTCCTTTATGGAGACAAGAAAGAAGGACTGAAGTTTTCAGAAAAAGGAAGAAGATTGCTCAGCTAGAATTTTATATTCATTGTCTCAGTCTTTCTCTTTACATATTGTGTACATTTATAATGTGTGTATATTTGTCCTATACAAGAAGTCTCTAGAATAAGTATACATAAATGGAATATGCTATATTCATCCCTATTCTCTCAACGTTAGCATGAGTGAGCTGGCTCTTTAGTCTTCAAATGAGCTGTAGTGCACAGCTGCTGGGTGTCTTGAGTAGTTTGCTCTTTTTTCTTGGGCTGTTGGGTGTCTTGTGAATGTATTACTTTATCAATGCTCACCCCTAGAAAATTGGATGAAAGTGTAAAACTTTGTCAGCATGTGCTAAATTGATCCTTTAAAATAATCTGAGGGGTAAATTGGCTGAAAAATTAATTCATGTGTTAAACTCTATAGTCAATAGTCATGATAGTTGAGGGTGTTATTTGGTAGTTTACCCTATATATCAGCTTCCTTTTACTGTTGATTGTAAACTTGTTTTTTGTATTCTCGCGTCAGTGCTAAGCAAAGTGGAATAAAACAGAAGCCATTGTGCATATATATATATATATATATATATATCAGAAGTTGGGGAATTCAGTTGAGTAAGTAATAATTATGGATGAGGAGAATGAGGTGAAGAAGCCTTCTGAAGTTGCAGATAGAAGCTTAATAGACTTGGTCTTCTCTTGGTCTCTGAGGAATGTTCTCGACAGAGATCTTTACAAACACCAGGTTTTCTATCCAGTTATTTATCTCCTCGTGCATATCTAGCTAGTGTGTTGTCAGCTTTCCTTTCATCTCATTTTATAAATAATTTATATTGGTAAATGCATGAGTTTTCAGTTTATATATGCATGAGTTTATCAGACCAAAAAAAAATTGCATGAGTTTATATATATAAAATAACTGCCATTAGCTTTTATTTACTTCTTTCAATCTTTTTCTTTGGATTATATCTAAATTAGTGGTAAATTAGCTCATAATTATATATGCGTGTACCAAAATTCACTTGCAGGTGACCGAAATTCCAAAGACATTTTCGACAGTGGCGAGTTACATGAAGTCATTCATTCCTTCACTTATTGAGGAAACACATGCTGATTTACTCTCAAGCATGATGGCTATTTCGGAGGCACCTATTTGTGAGATTCTGACGGTTGAAACTTCTAACCATCATAAGGCTCCCAAAGACTTGTTCTATGAAATTAAAGTTAGGAAGACGAGAGAAACCAAAATTAATGCAGGAAAATATGAGCCACAGGTTGGAGATATCTTTGCCTTGACTAATATTAGACCAAAATGCATTGATGATTTGAACAGGCCGGGAAATTTCTATCTTATTGCATATGTTCTCGGATCGAAAGATGACAGCTCAGACAAGATCCCAATACTCTCATCAAAGCCTATCAGTGGAGAAGGATACTGTTGTGCCCCGGAAATTAAACTGCCCCAAATAAACAACGAATTGACCCATGTCAATTTTGGTTCAAACAGATTCAAGCAAATACAGAGCAAGAGAGAAACACTGTTTGCTGTCTATTTGATGAACATGATCACAAATGTTCGTGTATGGAACGCATTGAACTCAGAACAGGCAAACACAAATATAATTAAGAATGTGCTGAAAGTGCAACCCACTTCACCAGATGTATTTTTCTGTACTCTTATCCTTAAACTCAAAATCCTGCACACTGAACCTTGTTCATGTTTTTGCATAAAAATCTTATTTGATTGGATTGTCAACCATGTTTAATTGTCAATTAACTCTTAAAGCAAATAGTCTATCCCTCGATAATCCGGTTATGTTTGTTTTACCTGCCAAGCTATTATTTGACTATTTTCACATACCTCACTAATCCATTTCATGTTTGTTTCTTATAGGGTGAGAATTCTTGCACAATTTGTTTTTCCAAACAAATATACTCCCTTGCCCTTTCTAGAAAATGGTCCAAAATGTGCTCTGATCTAAATGATTCCCAAAAGGCTGCAGTTTTAAACTGTATCAGTTTGAGCAATTGTCATCACCATAATGCCATAAAACTAATATGGGGGCCTCCAGGAACTGGAAAAACCAAGACTGTCGGTATGTCACTCTTTACCCTCTTTAAGCTGAAGTGCAGAACACTAACATGTGCTCCAACCAATACTGCTGTGTTAGAACTAGAAGGGATATATTCCTTTATGGAGACAAGAAAGAAGGACTGAAGTTTTCAGAAAAAGGAAGAAGATTGCTCAGCTAGAATTTTATATTCATTGTCTCAGTCTTTCTCTTTACATATTGTGTACATTTATAATGTGTGTATATTTGTCCTATACAAGAAGTCTCTAGAATAAGTATACATAAATGGAATATGCTATATTCATCCCTATTCTCTCAACGTTAGCATGAGTGAGCTGGCTCTTTAGTCTTCAAATGAGCTGTAGTGCACAGCTGCTGGGTGTCTTGAGTAGTTTGCTCTTTTTTCTTGGGCTGTTGGGTGTCTTGTGAATGTATTACTTTATCAATGCTCACCCCTAGAAAATTGGATGAAAGTGTAAAACTTTGTCAGCATGTGCTAAATTGATCCTTTAAAATAATCTGAGGGGTAAATTGGCTGAAAAATTAATTCATGTGTTAAACTCTATAGTCAATAGTCATGATAGTTGAGGGTGTTATTTGGTAGTTTACCCTATATATCAGCTTCCTTTTACTGTTGATTGTAAACTTGTTTTTTGTATTCTCGCGTCAGTGCTAAACAAAGTGGAATAAAACAGAAGCCATTGTGCATATATATATATATATATATATATATCAGAAGTTGGGGAATTCAGTTGAGTAAGTAATAATTATGGATGAGGAGAATGAGGTGAAGAAGCCTTCTGAAGTTGCAGATAGAAGCTTAATAGACTTGGTCTTCTCTTGGTCTCTGAGGAATGTTCTCGACAGAGATCTTTACAAACACCAGGTTTTCTATCCAGTTATTTATCTCCTCGTGCATATCTAGCTAGTGTGTTGTCAGCTTTCCTTTCATCTCATTTTATAAATAATTTATATTGGTAAATGCATGAGTTTTCAGTTTATATATGCATGAGTTTATCAGACCAAAAAAAAATTGCATGAGTTTATATATATAAAATAACTGCCATTAGCTTTTATTTACTTCTTTCAATCTTTTTCTTTGGATTATATCTAAATTAGTGGTAAATTAGCTCATAATTATATATGCGTGTACCAAAATTCACTTGCAGGTGACCGAAATTCCAAAGACATTTTCGACAGTGGCGAGTTACATGAAGTCATTCATTCCTTCACTTATTGAGGAAACACATGCTGATTTACTCTCAAGCATGATGGCTATTTCGGAGGCACCTATTTGTGAGATTCTGACGGTTGAAACTTCTAACCATCATAAGGCTCCCAAAGACTTGTTCTATGAAATTAAAGTTAGGAAGACGAGAGAAACCAAAATTAATGCAGGAAAATATGAGCCACAGGTTGGAGATATCTTTGCCTTGACTAATATTAGACCAAAATGCATTGATGATTTGAACAGGCCGGGAAATTTCTATCTTATTGCATATGTTCTCGGATCGAAAGATGACAGCTCAGACAAGATCCCAATACTCTCATCAAAGCCTATCAGTGGAGAAGGATACTGTTGTGCCCCGGAAATTAAACTGCCCCAAATAAACAACGAATTGACCCATGTCAATTTTGGTTCAAACAGATTCAAGCAAATACAGAGCAAGAGAGAAACACTGTTTGCTGTCTATTTGATGAACATGATCACAAATGTTCGTGTATGGAACGCATTGAACTCAGAACAGGCAAACACAAATATAATTAAGAATGTGCTGAAAGTGCAACCCACTTCACCAGATGTATTTTTCTGTACTCTTATCCTTAAACTCAAAATCCTGCACACTGAACCTTGTTCATGTTTTTGCATAAAAATCTTATTTGATTGGATTGTCAACCATGTTTAATTGTCAATTAACTCTTAAAGCAAATAGTCTATCCCTCGATAATCCGGTTATGTTTGTTTTACCTGCCAAGCTATTATTTGACTATTTTCACATACCTCACTAATCCATTTCATGTTTGTTTCTTATAGGGTGAGAATTCTTGCACAATTTGTTTTTCCAAACAAATATACTCCCTTGCCCTTTCTAGAAAATGGTCCAAAATGTGCTCTGATCTAAATGATTCCCAAAAGGCTGCAGTTTTAAACTGTATCAGTTTGAGCAATTGTCATCACCATAATGCCATAAAACTAATATGGGGGCCTCCAGGAACTGGAAAAACCAAGACTGTCGGTATGTCACTCTTTACCCTCTTTAAGCTGAAGTGCAGAACACTAACATGTGCTCCAACCAATACTGCTGTGTTAGAAGTTACGGCGAGACTCCTGAGGTTGGTTAATCAGTCTCTTAATTATGGAAAGTATGGACTAGGAGATATAATTCTATTTGGGAATGTGGAGCGGATGAAGATCGATAAGTATAACGACCTTTTTGAAGTATTTCTTGATACTCGTCTTGATATTCTGTCTAAGTGTCTTGCCCCTTTGTCTGGTTGGAAACACTGGTTAGAATCCCTGATAGGTCTACTTGAGGATCCACAGCTACACTACATGTTGTATGTAAAGCGAAAGAGGGAAAAACACAATAAGGATGATGACCAAGATGATAACTCAACAAGTGATGATGAGAATCATCTTTTGACGTTTGATGAGTTTGTGAAGAAAAAAATTGTGTACTTTAGTGAGCAGCTGGAAACTTGTATGGTAAACATGTACACCCACTTGCCAACATCTTGCATTTCACTTGAGGTTGTGAAGGACATGATTACAGTTTTGGATTTGCTTACGTTGATTAAATCTATAATGTATTGGGCTAGTGTTGCTAATCACAGGTTACGATTACTTCTTGAAGAATATTGCACTCAAATTCTTAAGTCCCTTCGTGCATTTTCTGTTCCAAATTTGAATGACCGACAAACAATAAGAAATTTGTGCTTGGCAAATGCTTGTTTAATATTTTGTACTGCGTCAAGCTCTGCAAAATTGCACACTAAAGGAATGGCACCTCTGGAAATGTTAGTGATTGATGACGCGGCTCAGCTGAAAGAATGTGAATCAGCAATTCCCTTACAACTACCTGGTCTTCGCCATGCTATTCTCATAGGAGATGAGATGCAACTCCCTGCTATGGTTAAAAGCAAGGTTTTCTTTTTACCCTTAGTTTTCTTTAGGTTTTTAAATAATGAGAAGCTTATACACACGCACACATTCATAAATATATTAACATCTTAGCAAATGAACTTGTTAGCTCTCCGAGAATGCTGAATTTGGAAGAAGTTTGTTCGAAAGACTTGTACTGTTAGGCCACAAGAAGCTCCTTCTCAATGTCCAGTATAGGATGCATCCTTCGATCAGCATGTTTCCGAAACAGGAGTTTTACAACAATCAGATATTAGATGGTCCAAATGTCAACCAAGTTAGCTATGCCAAGTCCTTTATTGACGGCAGAATGTACGGGCCGTACTCCTTTATAAATGTAGCCAATGGAAAAGAAGAATTTGATCGTGGGCATAGTCTGAAAAACATGGTTGAGGTTGCCGTGGTATATGAGATTGTTTCAAGCCTTTACAAAGGTAATTACTGTCCTAAGCTAGTTGTTGTAAGAATATGCTGCTCCTGCTTGAGAAGGTTTTAGCCCAATTTTTCATTTTTGTAACTTTTCTTTGTTCGCCGCAGAATTTACTCGAACAAAAAAGAAGGTTAGTGTTGGGGTAATATCGCCTTACAATGCTCAAGTTAATGCAATTCAATTGAGAGTCAGAAACTACAGCGAAGTTTCTGGCACAGATTTCTCTGTACGTGTGCGATCTGTTGATGGATTCCAAGGTGGTGAAGAGGATGTTATAATTATCTCCACTGTCAGATGTAACTGGAATGGATCTGTAGGTTTCCTCTCCGATTGTCAACGAGCAAATGTGGTGCTAACTCGTGCGAGGTATTACTGTTACATTGTAGCTTGCTCATGTTGTTGATTACATGTTTTGTCTGAATTATTGGTAGTTTTGATGAAGTTAATTTTTTGTAGTTGTGTTGGTGTAGGTATTGCCTTTGGATATTGGGGAACGAAGCCACATTGACAAACAGTAACTCAATTTGGAAGAAGATAATTCTTGATGCGAAGAAACGTGATTGTTTCTATAATGCTGATGATGACAAGAACTTGGCTCAGGCTATTGCAGCAGCACGTCTAGATCTTAACCAAACAGTGTGTGCAGCAGCAGGAGCAGAGCAATTTACCTGATGTAAAGAAGCATGTCTCTGTTGGTCTTTAATTTCTTGATGCAGCAATTCAGTGAAACAATTATCGAAATATATGAACCATTTTTTATTACTTGATAGCTTCCGTTGGTGTTTTTTTTTTGGTTGAAAGTTCCTTCTATTCTTTGATTGTGGCTGTTCTTCATTCATGGATCCTCTTTTATTCTTGTGAAGTCCTATTTTTCTTCTTGTGAAACCCTTAACCCATTCTTTTTGAAGAACTTAAAGCAATTATAAACAAGCTCAAAAGTTAGTGCATATCCAATCGCTAAATTTTGGTTCATTAAAAATGTAAATCCAGCATGCAGCTGATCCCAATTTTTATAGTTGCCCAACATAAAGAAACCTATTTCAAACAATTATACTACCAAAGCTCCTGCAATCTAAAAACCCACTACCTAAATCCATTGACAAAACAAACCCATATCTCAAAGATGTGCAGCATGCATCAATCAATATCAAGAAAAAATTGGAATCATGGCCTATTTTATATAGTTTAAGTTTTATTTTTTATTTTTTATTATAAGCGATTACGAGAGGGGGTTTACACAAATATTCATTGAGTGCTTGGGGGTTTCGAACATCTGTCAACATGGATGAATGTGGAAGGGCTCAACCAACTAAGCTATACCCGACTGACTATACAGTTTAAGTCCTTAATTTACCTGAAAAAAAGGTATGAAGAGTGAATTGATAATTAAGGAATAGTACAATATAAGAGTTTTTATCAATAATAGCCAAAATTTATACCCCAATTTCATAAATGTCAGTTTTTATAAAAACTTTCAAATATAGCCAAAAACCAATTTAAATTAACACAAATACCCTCAAAATTAAACCAAATAACAAAAAACTTACAAATCAAATAACTCACAACTACGGTGGCCAAGCTTACTCACAACTATGGTGCCCAGTTATGGCTATGAACCCTAAACTCCACTTAAAAACTCAAAACCCCAATTTTATTTCAAGTTTGATGGACTTGACAAATTCAATCGCTTTTCTTTCTCCTCTCACCCTAAAACTAAAATACCATATTTTTCCAATCCTTTATCTGATGTTGAATAAAATGCTTATGCATTGTCGTATGTGATTTTTCCTTTTAATTTCAAACTGTATTAATATAATAATATCTCCCTTGCACTCTCTTAAATTAAATAAAATGAATTGTGTTTGTATTCTTTTGGAACATAAAAACCAACATAAGGCAAATATTGTTGCGATTTTGCTGTGTTTCTCTTGATATGGGTTCCATTGTTTTTGGTTGAAGGTTTTTTATTATTAGAAAGGGGAAGTTTTAGATCTACAAAAGTCGAGCAAAAACAAAATGGGATTTTGAAGTTCTTCATGGTCAATCTTTGAGGTTCTATGTTTGAGTTTGTGGTGATAATTAAGAAGCATCATAATTGGGGCTTTAATCTTCGTTTGTGGAAAAAAATTCCTCTTTTTGTTTTGTTGTTTTAGTAATATAGATAATGTGAAGAGGCTGGTTTTATGGGTAATTATATTTTAATTTTGAGGATATTTGTGTCAATTTAAGTGAATTTTTGGCTATATTTGAAAGTTTTTATAAAAATTGACATTTATGAAATTGGAGTGTAAATTTTGGCTATTATTGATAAAAACTCACAATATAAGGGGCAGAACGGCAGATAACACTTGGACTAAATATTATCCTCTCATTTGACCTTTTAAGCATTTGGTATAAAAATTAGGCCCAATTTCTTCTGGACTCTAACACATGTTGGGCCATATCCAAATGCTATAAATTTTTTAGTTCTAGGGTTTACTTGCGAAGCACCATTTGGGGGCCGCTACCGCTTGCAAAGAAGAGAGACATTTCAGCGGGAAGCCGCCATGGGTAGAGTCATCAGAGCTCAGCGTAAGGGTGCGGGGTCGGTCTTCAAGTCCCACACCCACCACCGTAAGGGTCCCGCCCGGTTCCGCAGCCTCGACTTCGGCGAGCGCAACGGCTACCTCAAGGGCGTCGTCACCGAGATCATCCACGACCCGGGTCGCGGAGCCCCGCTCACCCTCCCCCCCGCAAGGGTCCTGCCCGGTCCCGGAGCCTCGCCTTCGGCGAGCGCAACGGCTACCTCAAGGGCGTCGTCACTGAGATTATCCACGACCCGGGTCGTGGTGCCCCGCTCGCCCGAGTCAGCTTCCGCCATCCTTTCCGATACAAGAAGCAGAACGAGCTCTTCGTCGCCGCTGAGGGCATCTACACTGGCCAGTTCATCTACTGTGGGAAGAAGGCCAATCTGGTTGTCGGCAATGTGTTGCCTCTCAGATCGATCCCGGAGGGAGCTGTCGTCTGCAACGTCGAGCACCATGTTGGTGACCGTGGAGTCCTTGCTAGGGCTTCTGGTGATTACGCTGTTGTTATCAGCCACAACCCTGATAACGATACCTCCAGGTCTCTCTCTCGTCCTTCCTTCTGTTTTCTTTTGATAATTATATCCTAAGAACATTAATTAATAATTATTTCGTATTTGATGAAATGTAGTTTGCTTTCAATAATGAAGCATGAAATATGACATTTTTATTGAAAATTCCCACATGGGTATGTTCAATTACAGACTCACAGTCTTAAGTAGCTTTTTGTTTCTTGGATTTTGTTGAATTAGTGGTGTGGCTATGAACCAATATAATTAGTAGTAAGACATTTGACTTGGGTTGGATTATATTTGAATTTTAGTAGGGTTGGGTCTCAACCAACGTTTCATTTTATTGCAAGTGTGTGTTATGTGCTTTTTCTTATATTGAGATTATGATTGCTTTATATTCTCGTCTTCACTTTCTACCTGTGCAGGCTTTGATTTATACTAATCCGATTTGATCATTCGATTTTCGACATCTATTACTGAATGTACTTTTCAATTTAGCTTGTCATTAGCTTCTCTGTTTTCTTGGTCAAGGTCTGCTGCGTTGGTTAGGGATTAACTCATTGTGTCTGTTTACATGTTCTTAACAGGATCAAGCTTCCTTCTGGTGCGAAGAAGATTGTGCCAAGTGGTTGCAGGGCAATGATTGGGCAGGTTGCTGGCGGTGGTAGGACTGAAAAGCCAATGCTCAAGGCTGGTAATGCATACCACAAATTCAGAGTGAAGAGGAACTGCTGGCCTAAGGTTCGTGGTGTGGCTATGAACCCAGTTGAGCATCCTCACGGAGGAGGTAACCACCAGCACATTGGACATGCAAGTACAGTCAGGCGTGATGCACCTCCTGGCCAGAAGGTCGGTCTCATTGCTGCAAGGAGAACAGGAAGACTTAGAGGACAAGCTGCTGCCACTGCCTCCAAGGCTGACAAGGCTTAAGATTAGTCTTATATTTTTATGTTCTGATTTTGGACCGCAGAATCTTTTAAGAGTGCTCAACATCACCATTTTTCCTTCTCAAAGTTTGCTATTTTGGTACCAATTACTTCGTGTACAAGTTATCCGAGACTAGCGGGTTTATTTCGTGGTAGAAATTTTGTTTAGTTGATGGTCCTTTTCGATCTAAATTTTGCCAGTTCCATGGAAATTAAGCCGACCAGAAGAATTTATTGCAGACAAGGTTCATACAGAAAGGAAACATGAAATTTATTTGAAGTTATGTTGGAATTTATGGCCACAAAATTGAGTTAAGACGATTGTAGCTGTTACCCTATGAATTAAGATTTAATCACAATCTATTGAATTCTGTTCTCATTAGATACAAATTTGTAATGCATTGAAACAATCTCTGTTGGCCTTAGGCTTAACTAAACTGCTGTTTTATATTTTCCGTCTTCATTTTTTTCTTTTTACTTTTCTGGAGTGAATTTTCATTTCTCACTTCCCGCGTAACAGAACTGTGACTTTAATAAAAGAAAAAAGCACTTTTTTTTAGGGTCAAAAAATGAAAAAGCACTTGAGGCTGTCGCCTTCTTGGTCTTCTATATATTATATTCACTATTCCAAAATTCTTGTACCCGTTTGTTTTCTTCCTCTAAAAATAAATTTGCATAATATTTAATCGTTATTTTCCTTCCATTTTTTTTTAAAACATAAGTCATTACAAGTTGTTACTTTCCTCTTAGTTTAGTCCTTATCGCAGAAGTACTTGGCTACCAAGTTGTTGACGCACAGCAAAAGGAAATATGCAGCTGCTGGGAAGTTCTCTTTCACTGTACCCTTGTAGAATTTCTTCCTATAAAAATAAATTTGCATCATATTTAATCGTTATTTTCCTTCCATTTTTTTTTAAAACATAAGTCATTACAAGTTGTTACTTTCCTCTTAGTTTAGTCCTTATCGCTGAAGTACTTGGCTACCAAGTTGTTGACGCACAGCAAAAGGAAATATGCAGCTGCTGGGAAGTTCTCTTTCACTGTACCCTTGTAGACTTTTTTGACCAAGTGGCAAGCCATGCTCTGCTTCCGTGGTAAGTAATTTACTATATATATACTTTGAAAGAAAATGATCTTAGACTAAGTAATTGACTTGCACTTGACTTGAAATTCCACAACTTACAAAGTAGTCATTGAGGATATCAAAGGATCAGTAAGCAGCTATGGATCATCAAGACAGTAATGTGAAAAAGGGGGGCGTTGCCGGTAGAAGCTTAATCGATTCGGTCTTCTCTTGGTCTATGAAGGATGTTCTCAAAAAAAATCTTTACAAAAAACAGGTTTGTTTTCTGACCAATGCTTAATTTCTGTTATGTCATCATGTTTTCTGAGCAATGCTTAATTAGAAAACTAGCTACAATGGGATGAGTTATGCATGTCGATTTCACTTTGGTTGTGTCAACTTACAGGTGACGAAAATTCCTGAGACATTTTCGACCGTGACTAGTTACATGAAATCGTTCATTCCTTCACTTGTTGAGGAAACACATGCTGATTTACTCTCAAGCATGATGACTCTGTCACAGGCACCTACCTGTGAAATTCTGGCTGTTAGAACTTCTAAGGGTCATAAACCTCCCAAGGACTTGTTTTATGATATTATAATTAAGGGCAGGGGAGAAGCCAGAGGATCATATGAGCCGCAGGCTGGAGATCTTATTGCCTTGACTGATATCAGACCAAAATGCACCGATGATTTGAACAAGCCCAGAGATTCATATCTCATTGCGTATGTTCTTCGAGGCAGAGATAATAACCTCTCAATACTCTCATCAAAGCCTATCAATAAAGGAGGAAAAAAACTTCTTGCTGTCTATCTAATCAACATGATGACAAATGTTCGCGTATGGAGAGCTTTGAACTCAGAAGGGGCCAACACAAATTTAACAAAGAATGTGCTGCAAGTGCAACCCAATTCATCACAAGTAATTTTTTTCTTCTTGACTCTATCTTTACTTTAACATCATGCATGCACATTCATTAGGCCTTCTTCATGTTTTCGAAACAAGGATGATCTACTCTGATTGCATTGTTGACCATGCTTAGTTGCTAATTGATTCCCAAAGCCCCGAACAACAGGTTTATGTTTCTTTCTTACAGGGTGGGAATTCTTGTTCAATTTGCTTTTCAAAAGAAAAATGCTCTGCTGCCCTTTCAAATAGATGGCCCTCAATGGGCTCTGATCTAAATGATTCCCAAGAAGCTGCAGTTTTGAACTGTATCAGTTTGAGTAAATGTACGCACCAAAATACCATCAAACTAATATGGGGTCCTCCTGGGACTGGAAAAACCAAGACAGTTGCTATGTCACTTTTTTCCCTCTTGAAGTTGAAGTGCAGAACACTAACATGTGCTCCAACAAATATCGCTGTGTTAGAAGTGGCAGCGCGACTGCTGGGATTGGTTAATCAGTCTCTTGGTTGTGGAAAGTATGGACTTGGAGATATAATTCTGTTTGGGAATGGGGAGCGGATGAAGATCGATAATTATGATGACCTTGTTGAGGTATTTCTTGATTATCGTATTGAAATTCTGGCCGAGTGTTTTAACCCTCGGACTGGATGGAAACATTGGTTGGAATCAATGATAGGTTTGCTTGAGGATCCACAGGAAAAGTACTTGTTGTATTTGAAAGAAATAAGGGGAGGAAGATGCGATGAGGATGGCAAAGATAGCGATAATATTTTAACAACGATGAAGAGAGTGGTAATGACCGCAAGGAAGGGAGTTATAGTCAATGATAGCAACTCAACAAAGGATGATGAGGATGATTTTCTGACCTTAGAGGAGTTTGTGAAGGAAAAACTTAGTTCAATTGGTAAGGATCTGAAGATTTGCATGGTCAATTTGTACACCCACTTACCAACTTCTTGCATTTCACTGGAGGTTGTAAAGGCCATGATAAGAGCTTCGGATTTGCTCAGTTCTCTTAAAGCTTTACTGCAGGATGTTGGTTTTGCTAATGAAAGGTCACAATTAGTTCTAAAAGATTGTGTTCATACACTGATGTCGCTTCGTGAATTTTCTGTTCCTGATTTGAATGATGTGAAGAAAATAAGGACATTGTGCTTGGCAAATGCTTGTTTAATATTTTGCACCGCATCAAGCTGTGCTAAATTGAACAGAGAGAGAATGAGACCTCTAGAATTGCTAGTGATTGATGAAGCTGCTCAGCTTAAAGAATGCGAATCAGCAATTCCTTTACAACTACCTGGTCTTCGCCATGCTATTCTCGTAGGAGATGAGAAGCAACTCCCTGCTATGGTTAAAAGCAAGGTTTCCTTTTGCCCCTTGTGCTGTTTAGTTTTCAAATTTTGAAAAGCTTTTATGTTTATGTGAATTTTGAACAATGCAATTTTCAGATTTCTGAGAAGGCTGGTTTTGGAAGAAGTTTGTTCGGAAGACTTGTACAGTTGGGACATAAGAAGCACCTTCTCAATGTCCAGTACAGAATGCATCCATCAATCAGCTTATTCCCAAAAGGGGAGTTTTACAAGAACCGGATATCCGATGGTCCAAATGTCAAGCAAAGAAGCTATGAGCGGTCTTTTCTTTCAGGAAAAATGTATGGATCCTACTCCTTTATAGATATAGTCAATGGAAAAGAAGAATTCGATCGCTGGCATAGTCCAAAAAATATGGTTGAGGTTGCTGTGGTCTGTGAGATTGTGGCAAGCCTTTACAGAGGTAAGTTTTGCTGTAAGCTAGTGTAGATGTTCTTAGCTTTTTTGTAACTTTTTTTTTTAATGGACCACAGAATTTACTCGAACAAAGAAGAAGGTTAGTGTTGGGGTAATATCACCTTACAAAGCTCAAGTTAACGCAATTCAAGAGAGAGTCGGAGAATACAGTGAAGTTTCTGGCACTGACTTCTCTGTAAGTGTGCGAACTGTTGACGGCTTTCAAGGTGGTGAAGATGATGTGATAATTATCTCCACTGTCAGATGTAACGAGAAAGGATCAGTAGGTTTCGTCTCCAATCTTCAAAGAGCAAACGTTATGCTAACGCGTGCAAGGTACTTCTGTCATATTAGGGGTTTTACATGCAGCAGCTTGGATCTAGTTTCTGAATTTTTGATGGTTTTTGATGAACTTCATCAATTGTTTTATGTCTGTTAGGTACTGTCTTTGGATTTTGGGGAACGAAGCAACTTTGATCAGCAGTAACTCTATTTGGAAGAAGCTAATTCTTGATGCAAAGAAACGCAAATGTTTCTATAATGCTCATGAGGACAAGGACTTAGCTCAGGCCATTGCAGCAGCCCTCATGGAGCTTGGCCAACTACACATTCTACTTAATGCTGATTCTCTGCTGTTCAAAAACGCCAAATGGAAGGTATGCTGCTACATTTCCCTTTCGTTCGAGTTCTACATGGCACCTAAATTATCAAGGCTTTATAGACTTCACAAATCTCCTCTGTTACATGTATAAATTATCCAGGGAGAGCTGAATAGGGGAACATGCCTTTTTAAAGGCAAATTCGTTCTGCGTTTAGATTCTGTGTTTTGCAGCATTTATTCTTCGTATATTAGTATCAGCATTAATCAATCTTCTTCCTGTATAGGTTTATTTCACCCAAAAATTTCAGAATTCCATGGAAAAGATTAAAGACACTGACATCCGTGGAGAAGTGGTTTCCTTATTAACAAAGCTCTCTGACGGCTGGCGCCAAACTTGCAAGGATAAAAGAGTTATAATTCATGGGGGGCTTTGTGGTCAGCTGTTAGAGAAGTATAAAGTGAAAGGGCAGCTGAATCTCATTTGGTCTGTAGATGTTCTTGAAGAGAACTCAGATTACGTCCAGGTTATGAAGATTTGGGATGTTCTTCCAGTTTCTGATACTTCCGAATTTGCGGAGCGGCTTCAGATCATATTTCGTAGTTATACAGCTGATAAGATGAACCTCTGCCTACTCAGATGTGTTGAGGGGTACGTATGCACTCACTTTTGATTTTTCTTGTGAATTTATTCATTTTGTACATATAGAAAATTAGCAAAAGTTAAAGTTGTAGATAATAGAACAGTACATTTATGCTGATTAAAAGGTTTCTATAGACATGGCTTGAATCATCCATCCATTGTTTCTCAATTGGTACAGAGATAAAGTTGTTCCGATGAGATCCCCGGTAGATTCGAGCAATTCCCGTGAGGCTGATCCTGTGGAGATTCTTTCAAAACCGTTATCTTCACTCAGTCTAACAGATGAGCCACAAACATAAAGTAGTGGGTGAGTGTTTACTCTGTACATCTTCCATATGACTACATGTTCTCAAGATTTTCACTCTCTCTTTCTAAATACAAGATATGTAAATTAACACAATTCTCTAATTTGGGCTCATTGATTGTTGCAATTAAGTACTGATTCTTTCATATAAATAATTATCAGAAAGAGTAGCATGTCCACAAGGTGGAGAAAGAAGGACACCGGGTTGAGGAGGTAATCAAGCTTTGCTTAGTTGAGGCACACAATTTCTAATTTCCTATCTTCTACCTACTTACCAGATAACATTGAAATGCTTCTCCATTTAAGCCATCTTTTCATAAATAAACTTTGGTATATTTTGACACAACTTTTGAAAACGGTGTGCAGCATAGCAGCAGCAGCAACAACGGAAGAATTAGAAGGTGTTGTACCTCCGTGAGATGTCATATATATCAAAGTTTTAGCCATTACCTGATATAGAGAAAGTAGAAATATGTTTATCTTTGATTACTTGATCAAACAATTTCTGAAATATATGAATGAAGAACCAATTATATTACTTTATAGCAAGCATCCATGGGTCCGTCCCCTTGTTATAAGGTTTTTAAGGCTCTAGTTTCTATCAACTTTGGTTCAAAACCCAAGAAAACAGGTACCGGAGCTAGAACAACGTCCACCAACCGTTCTCAATAATATAAAATCTCACAGAGTGAATTTCAAGCCTTGGATAACCTTGGACGACCACTCGTTGCCAATTTATTTTGCGTTAGATACTTAACACTGACCAATTCAAAACCCACAAGCCTAATTCAATCTAACAGGTGCCAAAGTTTTGAATTTCGTCAGCTAAAACTCTCCGTTCCTGAATCAAGGGGAAGAATATGTAAAAGGAGAGGGAAGTCCTTGCTCATGTGACAGCTCCAAAGACACTCCCTTAGCCCCTCTAACTTGTTCCACAAACCCCTCTGCTATCCAAAGTCGAATAAGTGTTTTTACACCGAATCAAATAATCTCCTGGAAAAATGCAACCAAGCTTAAGATGGTAGGGTAAATCATTGAAGCGTAGCCAATTTTTGGTTGACATGACAGCACTCAAAGCTACAATGCCTAGAGTTTTCCAGCAAGATCCCTGGCTTTGAGTTCAAAGCTCTGGTGGGTAAAATCTATTTGAACAGCTAGAGAAAGCTTTCATGCAAAATAGATCCCAAGCCTCACTCCTTTTGAGTGGCTGAACATGAAGAACAATGGGCATTTCTCACCCACAAACACATCTAAGCAGAGAGCATTTATAAAATTATATAAGCATATAAATATAATAGAAAGGAAAAGTAACGCCTACTTGCAATTGTTCATCAGTCATCACCATCCTCATGCTTCACATTCACAAGTGGCCCTGCCAACTGAGCATTCTTTTCTGCTACTTACATTACATTCCCATTCCCATTCGCATACTGCAAAAGAAATATCCAGCATTCATAATATTTAACTAAATTATAACAGACCTAGCTATATTAAACTTCCTACTTGTCCATGTGCAATAAACTGAACAAAATCATTTGCTGCAACAATGCCTTTAAATTTACAGAAAATGGATCTACAGAACCTCTTCTATGGGACACAGGAGCCAAAACCAGCTTGTTGAGGGAACAAATCCATGGATTTAAAGTCTCTAAGAGTTGTTGGCACATTCCTTGAATTTTCCAGAAATGGAAAGAAATTCATGGGTGGGGCATTCTGAAAAAACATCGCAGGTGTCCCTGTCCATGTAGCAGCATCAGCTCAATGAATCAAATACTATCTTAGGAACTAAATAAGAAAAATTCTAAAACCCTTTGGTGGACAGCTACTAGAAACAGAAATTTTAAGGGCAGATTAGAGATGGGTATTCTGAGTTCGATTTTGGGTTTTTGCGATTTTGGAGTTGGAACTTCAATTGAGCTTGTGATCGGGTATTGCCTCTTCATCTACTTCCAGCCAACTGATGTCATGGTCGACTCTATCTTCCTTTCTTCTTCTTCTCCAATTTCCTTCCTCTTCATTGATAGTTCTGCTTTTGTGATGGGATCTATCTAGCTGGGAGAGGAGGTAGTGGGTGTCTTGAGAAGTTTTTGGTGGGAGAGGAGGCTCGTGGGGGGAAAGAGAGAGAGAGAGACAGAGAGAGTGGTGGTGGTGGTGGTGGTGGTGAATAACATCTCTTCCTTGTTCCTGAATCCTGTCCTCCAACCACAATAGGTATTTCTGGTGAGATTCAATTTTAATTTTTAATTTTAATTTCTAATTTTAATAATAGTTTCCTTTAATTTTTAACTAGCCTTTATACACGCGCTTTCATGATTGTGAGAGGCTTTTTTTAAAAAAGAATTTAAATTTATTTTAGAATTAAAAAAGATATTTGTTTGTTTTTGTTTCACCATTCTCTACCTTTTGCTTTATATATATATATATATTAATGTATTAATATTTTAATTTATATGGGCAGTTTTACTCTCAATTTAGCGATAATATTAACAAACTTTAATGGTGAGACCGTTTTGATACTAAATAGAAAGTTGAAGGGCTATTGAAATGAAAATTTTAGTTCATGAACCAAAATGAAACTTGAGCAATAATTGGAAAACCATTTCAATCAAAAAACCCAAAAAAAGAAGAAAAAAAAGAAACAAGAATCAGGTTAATCCCAAGAAATTAGATATCATACGAAACTATCTCATATTTAAAAGGGAGTTTCACTAAAACACCCAAAATGGGAGCTGAAATTATAAAAAAACTCAACACCCAAAACCCATTATTACACACACTCAAAACCCATTTATAAACACACCCAAAAAATATACAATTGTTGACTTCGGAGTTCATTTTGGGTGTGTTTCTATGTTTAAATAGTGTTTGGATTTTTTTATAAATACATGTTTAGGATTGGGTTTATTTATAAATTTGTATATTTAAAATACTTAGTATGAACCATTGCATTACATGAAACTTCACTTTTTGCACTTTTAAATTCACTTGTTGAGATTAGTAAATAGATCTATATTCATCACTATTGATTTCAAAACTATTACGATCAACATAATTCTCTTCCGAGTGTTAAAAGAGATCCCAACTTTGAACCCCTACACTGTGGATAAGAAGATCCAAAAAAAAAAAAAAATATGGCATCAGAAGGATGACCAATAATGGCAACAATGGAAAATTAACCACACTAATTCAATATCTTGAATTTGAGCATTATTCCAGCATTTTATTTATGAACTAAGTCAAACATTTTTCTTTATAATTACCCCCAACAAATAGAAGGAATTGACAGTGATGCGTACATATAGACTTTCTATAGTAAGGATGTCCTTATTTTTCCTTACATATAAATAGTTTAAAATACAAATTTGCATTTATATGAACACGGTTATAGCCGTTATATCGCCGATTCTTCTGAATTACAGATTAATTACAATCCATTGAATTATGTTCGCATTAGATACAAATTTGTATTGAATAAAGGTAGGACAATGGACTCTGGCTTGTGTATGAATTGAAAAACATCCTTTGGCTTATATTTTTCATCTTCGTTTTCTTCTAATTACTTTTCTGGAGTGAATTTTGATTTATCACTCATTCCTTGGCCTTAACCCCCATCTTTGTCCTTAGACTTGCTTTGGTCTGTTCCTTGCTCCATTGTCCTTGTTGGATTATGGTATTTCTATGTTGGCATGTCTGTTTTGTTGGTGGGTTTTGGCTCCCCTTTGGGCCTCTGCCGTGGGGCTTTTATTGAATCGTCCCTTAACCATTATAAAAATAAAAAAATTTATAAAAAAATAAAAATAAAAAATAAATATCTGTCACTTTATAAAAAGAAAGGGCACTTCCAATGTTCTTATACCCGTTTGTTTTCTTCCTATAAAAGAAAGTAATTTTTATAATCTTTATTTCTTTATTTCTTTTTTTAATTCAAGCAATAGTCTAAACTTTATGTTATGAACCGAGACCACTCTTATATTCCTTCCATTTTTTCTATTTTAACATGAATGTTTAATTCTTACAAGTTGTTACTTTATACTTAGCTTAGCCCTTTATTCATTGCAAAAGTACTTGGGTATCAATTTGTTATTGCAAAGCAAAAGAAAACATGAAATGCAGCTGGTGGGAAGGTCTCTTCCGCTGCTCTGCTCTGCTTCGGTGCTAAGCAATTGACTTGAGCTTCCACTTACAAAGAATTCATTGCGAATATCAGAAAATCAGTAAGCAGCTATGGATCATCAAGAGACTAGTGTGGAAAAGAAGGGAGTTGCTGGCAGTGGCTTAATCAATTTGGTCTTCTCTTGGTCTATGGAGGATGTTCTCAACAGAAATCTATACAAAAACCAGGTTTGTCTGCTCTTCTTCGTATCTCGTCATGTAGTAATTACAATGTGATGAGTTATGCATGCTTGTCAATTTTGCTTTGATGTTTGTAAATTGTAATTACTACAGGTGACGAAAATTCCTGATACATTTTCGACCGTGACGAGTTACATGAAAATGTTCATTCCTTCGCTTGTTGAGGAAACACATGCTGATTTACTCTCAAGCATGGAGACTCTGCCACAGGCACCTACTTGTGAAATTCTAGCTGTTAAACCTAAGGGTCATAAAAATGCCAAGGACTTTTCTTATGTTATTATAATAAGGGGTAGTGGAGAAGCCAAAAATTATGAGCCGCAGCATGGAGATCTTATTGCCTTGACTGATATTAGACCAACAAGCAGTGATCATTTGAACAGGCTGAGAGATTCATATCTCATTGCGTATGTTCATCCAGGCGGAGATAATAGGCTCTTTATACGCTCATCAAAGCCTATAAGTAGAGGAGGAGGAGGAAAACTTTTTGCTGTCTATCTGATCAACATGACAACAAATGTTCGCATATGGAAAGCTTTGATCTCAGAAAAGGCAAACACAAATATAATTAAGAATGTGCTGCAAGTGCAACCCAATTCATCACAGGTAATTTTTTTCTCTAGACCCTTTCTTTTCTTTAACATTATGCCAGCACATTAATTAGGCCTTGTTCTATGTTTTCAGAATAAGGATGATCTACTCTTAGTGCATTGTTTGATATGTTTAGTTGCTAATTGATTCGCAAAGCTCCAAACAACGCATTTATGTTTCTTTCTTACAGGGTGGGAATTCTTGTTCAATTTGCTTTTCTAAGAAAAAATGCTCTGCTGCCCTTTCAAATAGATGGCCCTCAATGGGCTCTGATCTAAATGATTCCCAAGAAGCTGCAGTTTTGAACTGTATCAATTTGAGTAAATGTACGCACCAAAATACCATCAAACTAATATGGGGTCCTCCGGGGACTGGAAAAACCAAGACAGTTGCTATGTCACTCTTTGCCCTCTTGAAGTTGAAGTGCAGAACACTAACATGTGCTCCAACAAATGTCGCCGTTTTAGAAGTGACAGCGAGACTCCTGGGATTGATTAATCAGTCTCTTGATTATGGAAAGTATGGACTTGGAGATATAATTCTATTTGGGAATGGGGAGCGAATGAAGATCGATAATTATGATGACCTTGTTGAGGTATTTCTTGATTATCGTATTGAAATTCTGGCCCAGTGTTTTAACCCTGGGACTGGATGGAAACATTGGTTGGAGTCAATGATAGGTTTGCTTGAGGATCCACAGGAAAAGTACTCAACAAGGGATGATCAGAATGATTTTCAGACCTTTGAGGAGTTTGTGAAGGAAAAACTTAATTCAGTTGGTGAGCATGTAGAGTTTTGCATGGTAAATTTGTACACTCACTTACCAACTTCTTGCATTTCATTAGAGGTTGTGACTGACATGATTGGAGCTCTGGATTTGCTCAATTCTCTTAAATCTTTACTGCGTGAGGTTGGTTTTGCTAATGAGAGGTCACAATTAGTTCTAAAAGATTTTCTTCGTAAACTGAGGTCTCTTCGTAAATTTTGTGTTCCTAATTTGAAAATTTTGGAGAAAATAAAGATATTCTGCTTGGCAAATGCTTCCTTAATATTTTGCACCGTGTCAAGCGCTGCTAAATTGCAGACAGAGAATAAGACACCCCTGGATTTGTTAGTGATTGATGAAGCTGCTCAGCTTAAAGAATGTGAATCAGCAATTCCTTTGCAACTACCGGGTCTTCGCCATGCTATTCTCGTAGGAGATGAGAAGCAACTCCCTGCTATGGTTAAAAGCAAGGTATCATTTTGTCCCTTGTGCTGTTTAGTTTTCAAATTTTGAAAAGCTTTTATGTTTATGTGAATTTTGAACAATGCAACTTTCAGATTTCTGAGAAGGCTGGTTTTGGAAGAAGTTTGTTCGGAAGACTTGTACAGTTGGGACATAAGAAGCACCTTCTCAATGTCCAGTACAGAATGCATCCATCAATCGGCTTATTCCCGAAAGGGGAGTTTTACAAGAACCGGATATCCGATGGTCCAAATGTCAAGCAAAGAAGCTATGAGCGGTCTTTTCTTTCAGGAAAAATGTATGGATCCTACTCCTTTATAGATATAGTCAATGGAAAAGAAGAATTCGATCGCTGGCATAGTCCAAAAAATATGGTTGAGGTTGCTGTGGTCTGTGAGATTGTGGCAAGCCTTTACAGAGGTAAGTTTTGCTGTAAGCTAGTGTAGATGTTCTTAGCTTTTTTGTAACTTTTTTTTTTAATGGACCACAGAATTTACTCGAACAAAGAAGAAGGTTAGTGTTGGGGTAATATCACCTTACAAAGCTCAAGTTAACGCAATTCAAGAGAGAGTCGGAGAATACAGTGAAGTTTCTGGCACTGACTTCTCTGTAAGTGTGCGAACTGTTGACGGCTTTCAAGGTGGTGAAGATGATGTGATAATTATCTCCACTGTCAGATGTAACGAGAAAGGATCTGTAGGTTTCGTCTCCAATCTTCAAAGAGCAAACGTTATGCTAACACGTGCAAGGTACTTCTCTCATATTAGGGGTTTTACATGCAGCAGCTTGGATCTAGTTTCTGAATTTTTGATTGTTTTTGATGAACTTCATCAATTGTTTTATGTCTGTTAGGTACTGTCTTTGGATTTTGGGGAACGAAGCAACTTTGATCAGCAGTAACTCTATTTGGAAGAAGCTAATTCTTGATGCAAAGAAACGCAAATGTTTCTATAATGCTCATGAGGACAAGGACTTAGCTCAGGCCATTGCAGCAGCCCTCATGGAGCTTGGCCAACTACA